TAACTTAACTCATTTTAGCGGTGCTTGTATCGGGGATCGTTCTCAGGTTACTCAAGATAATTAATGCGTGCACGGTCGCAAGAGGAGACAGAGGGAATCAAACCCAGAGATGGGCAGAAACATGTACGTATTTACAAAGAGAAAATTAAATCTCGATGGCCAACCCACTAAACGTGGTTGAGGTTGACAACTGTGACCAATATTACTTACAAGGAAATCTACGGGCCTATGTTCAACAGTGGACCTTGGCAGCCTGTGATGAATGACCACGGGACAAAATATTTAATTTGCTATGTAAATCATTATATAAAAAAATTTTTGTTAGTTTGCAAAATTCTTTGACTGTTTAAAAAGTCCAAACTTGCTTGAAAATTAAAATAATAAAAATAATACCGAGGAACAGATATTTTACGTCTTTAAGAAACAGTAAAAATTCAAATCACCGTCGGAAATGACCTAATTGTAATCAGTAATAGTACTTTTACAGAAACGCATTAGCACATAATACAGTGGCTCGTAGAATAATTATGTTAGGCGATAATACAGAAAACCAACCCTTGGTACAAGAGCTTTTATTGAATAAGAAATTCGCTTTAAGATAGATTTAATTAAATACAATTCCAATTCCATGAAAACTGTAACAAAGTCTTTTATATTAAATAAGTGAATAATTAGCTGTTGAAATTGGCTTAGTCTTCTTGGTGAGTTAGACTTATTTATGGACCACAGCACCTACTTGTTTGTATTTTCTTTACTTGATTGTCACCCTTATCTAAATTTAAAAAAACTCATTCTCAAAACATATTTGCAAGATGATGTTGTGACCAGGATTAAGAAAGGAATGCTTCGGTGGTTTGGCCATGTAGAAAGAATGAATGAGGAAAGAGTGACAAAGCAAATCTATGTTGCAGAGGTGAACGGCATAGTCGGGAAGGGTCGCCCTAGGCGAAAGTTTATCGACCAAATTGGCGATATATTAACCACTCAAGACTTTGACAGTTCATTAAACCAATTAAGTCAGACCTATGGTCAAGCCAAAGACAATATCTATTTTTATAAAGTGAGCGCTAGGGTAACGAAGATTGCAATACGTTGTCGATAAATAAAATGTTTTGAGAAATTACCAATTCAACACTTAAAATATCGAATTGTTTGTATGAAAGTCAAGTGAGCGCTAGTCACGACGATTGCAAGACGTCGATAAGTGAAATGTTTTCAGAAATTTAAATCACCGTTTCATTACACGGTTCTCAAAACATTGCAGTGTACGAATATCCATATCATGCCGTGTGTCGTAAAAGGCGACCAGACTTGGGGAAGTATTATTTTTAATAACTATGACCGACGTTATAGGTCTATAAAAACAACAGTGAAAAATCACTTACTTTGTCACGTCGATTACTTATTAGAAATTGACATAAACGTTATTTTTCACCGTGATGTTAGTTTTCAGTTATGATTAATAAGGGACAGAGTGAAACAAATTAGGATATGGGCAGCAGTGTCTACTCTCTAGTCTAATATGAACAAAATAAGTGAGGACCTACGATCGCTAAGTTGTCTCAATAATTATTATAAATATTACAAATATAAATTATTATTGATTTTTTTTTATTTATAATATTTCACCATTTTTTAATGTTTCTTTTTGTCAAAAATTGCTTCGCAGACGCTATTTACCAACGGCAGCGCGGCTATAAATTCTACTAATTTTCAGGGACAGGCGGGCTATGTTTTAGCACGTAGCGATCGTTCTCCTGTTCTCTAACCTCCATGCTATGATCTATAGTGGACTTTACTAGGCTCAATTAGGAAAATTAGGAGGAAAAAGTCCGAACATGTTTTTAAATTTAATCTCGTCATTTGCTCATGAGCTCCTCTGGATTTCCATGACCCATGGGCCAGAAGTAGATTGTTACGACCTTATGAAAAAGATAAAATTGTAAGGAAACTAAAAGGAAAGGGAGGGGAGTAATTTTTTGTAAAAAAAGTCATCAAATAACAAGATGAAATAATTTATTAAACAAGTTGCATAAACAAGTCCAATGGTTAAAACAATGATAAATAATAAAATCTAGTTTATTGTAAAGAAAAAAATTCAAATATTATGTCACTTCCACAACTAATGCAAATCTAACGAAGCCCCATATATTAAAAAATCCATCAAGCAATTTAGGTTACAGAGCGTGTCAAAGAAAAAGACCTCCATACGTGCATACTTAAAAAACATTACCCTTATTTTGAAGTAGCCAAGTAAATAATAAAGGTTATACTATAAAAAAAACAAAACATGCGGTAACAGATTAACCGCTCAACTATGGAGTGTAGAAGTAAGGAGTACAAACTGCCATACGAGAATAGTTAAAAAACTGTCCATATGTAAGCAGTAAATAAGTTATTTCAAAAACTCTCCACTTCAGCGCTCGAGTAGCTATGAGGCGCCGTAAAATACGTTGAGTGATTTTGAAAATAAAAATTTTGAAAGCAATAAAATAATCATTGTAAAAAGAATTGTGAGTCTGTGCAATAAAAGTTAGGCAATTTTTCCAAAATATAAATAAGTAATTTATGTTTATTATGTCCGGGGAGTGGCTCCATATGCTGAAATACAGGTTCTGGCCTAGTTCGGCAATGGATGCTATTTTTCATGTTATAAGATAAAATATTCCTGTGTAGTTTATAAATAGACATATTGTTAAATAATATATATGGTAATAAAGATTATTATAATTATAGGAATGATGCCATTTTGAAAGATACTGTTGAGAGGTTAAGAATATCCACTAGCACCGTTTCGTCTCGTCTCGTGGGTGCAGTAAGACGCGTCGGAGGAAAACTGAAACAGAAAATGGGCAGCAGCATCTTCATCTTCTTAATAATAACTAAAAATTACATGCTTTTTATAACCAACGATAAAACACAGAATGACTTTCAATAAGTGTTATCCGTATTGAATAAAAAAATATTGTATTCTATTTATTCAAAAAAATTAAATACAAAATATTATAAGACAGATGGAAATGTCGGTTAGGCATTTTTTCAAACAAATGCAAGTTTTTACATTCAATACATACAGAGTTATTTTGCAATAACTGGCCAAATTTGCAGAGATTTCTTTTTTTTTTTTGCGCCCGAAGCAATTGGAAAATGGGCTACCCTTTACGTAGGGAGGCGGAAAATGCATTACGCATACCACGATAGGCTATCCATCGTGGCTATGGGGGACTCACGCCTAACCGGGGAGCCTAAGTGATACCCCCTAAAAACCGCCTTTGGGGACTGACAACCAGCTGTTTAAAGCTTCACATGCCGTATCGAAAGCGACCCCCTTTTGGGAAAAGAGGGCGCAGGGGAAAAGAGGGCGCAGGAAATTTGCAGAGAAAGTTCAGAATAAGTAATATAGGCAAGTAGTGAAGAAACATTTTTTTTTGCGCCCAGAAGCAATTGGAAAAAGGGCTACCCTTTACGTAGGGAGGCGGTAAATGCTTTATGCATACCACGACAGCCGGTCCGTCGTGGTTATGTGGGACTCACTGTTTCTAACCTAAAGTGGAGCCTAGGTGCTACCCACTAAAAACCGCCTGTGGGACTGACGATTGGCCGATTAAGCCGCTTCGTCGGATCGGAAGCGACGCTCTTTTGGGAGAAGAGGGCGCAGTTCAAAAAAACCTCACATACGGTCCTTTATGGTCCTTATTATGGTGTTTATCTTTTGAATTCAAAATGCATGGTAATGCACTGTTTTAACTAATTTTACAGAGTACGAATGTGTGCACATTCGTAACGGTCAATAGGTGGAGAAAAATGTTGTGGCCTATATCCCAAATTGAATGTGATTTATCACATTCAATTTGGGATAATTTCGAATAAAAGTTAACTTTAGCCTTATTTACTCGTATTTTCAAAAACTGCAATAATGGTATGTTATTATTTATGTATTTGAACTTAAGTTTAAAATTTGGCTACTCTTTGAAAAATAACCCTGTGTATGCTTTGCATGAATGGAACAATACTATTATTAAAAACATACAGTATTTCAAATATACGCGTAACACGTCGAATAACAAACAAGTTACAGAGCATGCCAAAAAAAGACATACATACATGCATACTCGAAAAACATTACCCTTCTCCTAAAGGAGCCAAGTAGAGAAAAAAGATTAAGCTACAGAGCGTGCCAATGAAATAAGACATCCATACATGCGTACTCGAAAAACATTACCGTTTTTCTGCAGTAGCCAAAAAGAGAAAAAAGCTTGTATTAAAAAACAAACCATGTGGTGACGCATTAAGAATATCCACCACTATCATTTCGTCTAGTATACTAGGTGTCGTTAGAGGCATCGGAGGGAAACTGAAACAGGAAATCGGCAGTTAGTTATTATAAAAGTTACAAGTTTTCACACTATCGCACTATATAATTATATAACAGACAATCGCCTTTCATACCAACTGTCTCCAAGCATTCCACCATTATTAAGATAAATTTGATACGAAACAAACACGTAACGGATAGGAAGAGAGAATAAAAACAGGATTACGGCAGATGTTATTACAGCACTATAATATATATTACAAAGACATTTGGTATTTATGCTATGGCACAATAATATGTCCTGGACAGATGAAAAAATCTGCCATAACCGGATGAACACCGCCGCGATCGATTTCCATTCATCAACTCACAAAACTACATTTGGTCATTTTATGGCATTATGATATATCCTGCACATCTATGACGCTGGAATCCGTTTCTCAGTATATACCTTTTGACAACCTTTCGAGCATTTACGGCACTATAATATATTCTGCATTAATGTTTGCTGCTGGTAATACTGATGGTCACTATAATATATAATGCACACATAGGAATTAAATAAGGAACCATATAAACCTGAGAGAAAACAAAAAAAATTATAAAGATAATAAAAAAAATGATCTAGTTCGAATTGTAAACATACTATGGAGTATGATGCAATTTCAAATGATATAATACTATACTAATGAATAGTATGATATAATTTGAAGCAAGGTTCGAGACAAAGAGCTACCTCACAATATTCACACACAAAAGTGGTAAGTTTCGAAACCTGATTTCGCTTCAGACACCAGACGCACTTACGTCGCAGAGTTCGGTGGCCGGCGGCATGTGAAGCTGAAAACCTGACAGGCCAGTGAACACTGTTCGTCAAGCGTCTCAAGGGCAAATCGCTGTCGCGATCTGCCCTTGAGACGCTTGTGTCGCGAATGTGTCGCGAACATGGGTTAATCTCGCGATGATAGCGCGGCACTTGATGGAGGTGTTTATCAATAATGTCTTGAACTAATTGTAAACGAAAAGACAAATGATGTTGCCGTTCGTTACAAGATTTTTCAAAGTGGATTCTAGAATTAAGTATGGTAACATTTAAAAGCCTCTTGAAGAGCTTCATGTTCCATTTTGCACAACGTTTTCTCTCCAATAAATATGGTTCCAGCATTTGATCTTTACGATCAGTTCCACCCATATTCTTATTATAATCAAGAACCAACTGGGGTTTCCACTGAGGCGGCATATGGGGCTTGGATGGTGCCAGCCCTTGCTCAGTGCCATGGTACGTACTGATTAACGGAATCCTTTTTTTATCCTGATACGCCATTATAACAACGTCACCCGAGTGCCGCGCCAGGAACTGACCTGCCTGTAGCTTACAAAGTGACACCAGAGATGGCACATTTTGACGGTTGGGTCGTAGTGTTCCCACACAATCGGTTCGACGTTTCTTCAAAAACCTCGCCAGGAGGGGGCAATTGAACCAATTGTCTATAAAAAGAGTATACCCTTTGTCGAGCAGTGGCCAAATGAGTTTGAGTACAGTTTTAGTACTCACGTTAAGTGACGATGGAAATCGAGGATCGGGGGTATTTACCTTTCCAGTGTATACGAAAAACGACCACATGTATCCCGTAGCAGACTCGCACAATTCTAAAGTTTTTATTCCGAATCGGGCCGCTTTAGTCTTTATATATTGTTTGAATGAGAGTTTACCTTTCCATAAAGTTAAGCTCTCATCAATACATATTTCCTGATTAGGGATATAAGCGGATTGAAAGCGGCAATTCAAATGATTTATAATTGTTTCAATAGGAAAGATAGGGTGAGAATCAGGTGTACGTGTTGCGTTATTTACAAAATGAAGAGCGCGGCACAAATGTTGATATCTATGGCGTGAAAACAATTGGCGGAAAATGTTAGTCTTCAATAGAAAATGTTCACAAAAACAAGATGCTATGGAGGGCATACGGATGATCCCCAACATCATCCAAAAAGAAAATAGGATAAATAGCTCATGTGTATTTGTTTCGTACCAATTTTGTGCAAAAGTATCATTGATACAAGCCAGTTCTACAGCATACCGGTTTGTTTCTGTCGCTATATGAGACATGATGCTCTCGTCCCAATATTGGCGGAATGCCTCATACGCGCTTCCGGACGGCGTGGTCGGCCCTGTTCTTTCCGGAAGAAACGTTTCTCTTTCACCTTGAAAGGAGTCCATGGGGCGCCAATCATAGTGAAGAGAAGTCGCATCTCCTTCGAATAGGGCCGCATGTCCACTGTCATCGGCCACATCATCATTATCTACTTCCATCCTTCTCCTTTCGGCCCTCCGCTCTCGAGCTTCCCTATCAGCCACCAGTCTCAAAATCCTATTGCGCAAATCCTCAGGCACATCATCGTCTGTCACACATACTTGAACAAGGCGGTCGCCGCGCCGCCACGACGAGGAGTCGGAGACGCGAGCACCGCGGGCGCGGCGCCCGCGCCGCCCGCAGCGGCCGCCTCGCGCCTGACGCCTGCCTGCTGCTGCCGTCGCTGGGAACCGCACGCCTCGTACAGCACCACCACTCGAACTCGCCACCACCTCCTCGTGATATAGTTCATGCTGGTCCGCCAACAAGTACTCGTTGCCGGTCTCCTCATCTAACCGCTCAACGACAACGACCACTTCTGGACGAACATTTCGCCTGCAAGACAAATATGAAAATTACATAACATAATTTAGTAATACTAGCTGTTCCCCGCGACTTCACCTGCGTATTAATTTATGACCATTAGATTTCATGGGTTTTAATTTATTTGTGCAGAACCCTAATTATTCCTTATATATATATATGCGTCGAACGGTTCGTGTATTGCATTTTTATACCTGTGATACATTCTAAATTAAACATCCGATTTGAATGAATTACTGCTACATAAATACCCTTAACGATAAAACTATCTATTCAAATAAGAATCAATACTATGAAACTAACCAACAACCATCCTAGCTACCACGGCTCCTATAAACTATTAAATATAACATAAATGTATATACCTCTTCCCCTCGGGCTTCGGTGGACATTGGACGTCTTTCTTGTACCATTTTATTTTAATTTAAAAATAGTATTTTTCAAAGTAATTCTATATTAGTTAAATATATTGAGCTACCACGAGCTTAGTGCATAAAGAGAGCGTTGAACATTAACTGCAGTGACGGGGCGTGAGTAGGACATAACAATTAAACAAAGATATCGCTATAAACTGACGCATCATCGACTCCTGCTTTAGGCCTATTTATATACCGACATAATATAATGTAATTTTTCATGCAAACACGTGGCAAGAAGTTTATGAAAATGTTAAGGCTTAAATAAAGTATCTGACTGGCTAATAAACAACCTTTTAACATTAAATATACAAAAGACAAAATACATGATTTTTACAATGCGTTCAGCCAATAACATTGACTTCCAATATTCATTAAGAGCACTTACATGTTCAAAGATGAAAACGACTCAATGTCATTGCAGTGCTATTGAGAGTAGAAAATATGAAATATCTTGGAGTAATCATTGATAACAAACAAACTTAATTTTCAAAGTCACATATAGACATGTTGACAGCTAGAGTAAGAAAGTTAATATACATTTTTAAAAACCTTAGTAACATAGCTGACTTAAAAATCATCAAAATAGTTTACTTTGCCTTATGTCAATCGATTATCGCATACTATATAACATCCTGGGGTGGTTCTGAAAGGACAAAAATAATAAAACTGGGAAGAGCACAGAGAGCTATACTAAAAGTATCCGCCTCACTTCCACTTTCTTTACCCTACTGTAGGCTTATACAAGCGATGGAAAGTCCTATCTGTGAGGCAGCTCTTTATTCTACAATGTATTATTAAAAAACACTCACTCTTACGGTATAATCCACAATTGATAAAAGATAAGCGCAGAAATGATCTGGTCTGTTACTACAACACGCATTACACACACATTTACAAATTTTCACATAAATTCTTTACCTTTCTTGGTAATTATCTATATAATAAAACAAACGCTATAATTCGTATATATCCACTTAATAGAAATAATTGCAAATTTAAAGTAACCCAATAGTTGTTAAGTCTAGACTATGAAACCACTGAAAACCTTCTTATTTCATATACATAACTTTAATACTGGATAGATAATACATACATACACACACACGCACACACACACACACACACACACACACACACACACACACACACACACACACACACACACACACACACACACACCACAAAAGTAACTAATAATACAATTCATTTGTATCTCATTTGTTAATCATACAAATGGCATGTGATGTTGTGATGATAGTAACCTGAGGGGGAGACACTGGTGATCCGTAAAACAGGCTTCCGCCTAGTACAGACACCAGACTGTCACCCCATAGTCTACTTTGTTTATAATCTACCTTGTAAACTTAAAATCTGAGGGTAAATAAATATATTATTATTATTATTATATTATATCATAGAATAATTATATACAAATTAATTAGATAGAATCAAAGATGAAAATAGTAACTAGTTACAACAGTTACTAAACTCCAAAGAAACAGTATAATTCCTTCATGGGGCAATGTAGGTATATGCTTTTACAACACAGTCCCAGAAAATATAAGACCTTATTAATCAGTTTTAATTTTTAGTAAGCAAAATTTGTTTAGTAAAGGTTATTATACTACTTAAGAGTATGTTTTTGGATTATTATCAATCACATACTACTTAAGAGTATGTGATTGATAATAATCCTTGGGAATGAGGAGATTGCTACCATACTAATTTTATTCTATAAAAAATATTGTAAATTAATTCTATTCACCAAAAGTCTCGCTGGGTTTCTAACTTGTTCTTCCCAAGACGGAGGCTTTTTCATATCTCTAATTTATAAGAGTGAAGAATTTTCATTGAATATAGACAAAGTTTAAAAACTGTGGTAGCTTCTACTTACACATTTTTTTGAAAAAGCTTTAATACAAACATAATAACAAAATTAACTTACGAAGAAGATGGTGACACTGGTAGTGGCGGATTTACTTGTGCTGGCTCAGTGGAACGTGCGGGTCCTAAAGGGAGACTTGGACACTCCAATTGCTGTCCATGTTCATCAAACATGGCCAGTAGGGTAACCTCATTGGAGTTATTGAATTCCCCCTGCATATCCTGCTCCTGAAAAACAAGTAAGATGACATTTTAGATATACATATAACATATTTTTATGGTCATGAGTTGGATTGACCAGGATAGCACTGCTGTCTTTTAATTAGTGAGAAAAACCAGAGACTCCTTTTCATAGATGTGTTTCATGTTTACGTCATATGATAGGTGTAGATAATTAATATATATATATATAGTATATAAATACCAACATGTGTATATATATATATATATATACAATAAACCAACATAACAGGAGAGAGATCAGGTGCAGAACCAACGGTTGTACATGCTTTTCGAGGTACGGGGATGAGACAGCGCCAACGTCCTGACTCTGGGCTGCTACTGGGAATTTCTTAACGGAAAAACTCATTAAATAATTTTATTGACCCAACCAGAATTTGGACCTGGGACCTCATAATCAGCAGTCACGTTATACAACCACTATATACACTCATATTTATAATTATAATAAAGACAGAGTATAATAAATAACTTACAACATTATTATGTGAAAATGTTTCTTCGTTCTCGCTGAGATCGCCCTCGTCAGAGTCACACCATAAGTTATCAAATTCCGCCATTTTTCTGAAAATGTATGTATTACACACATGTGAACATTTTGTGTCTTCATGAAAATCGAAAAGAGTAAGAAGACAAAGTTTATAAAATTTATATATATGAATTATGAAATACTAAATTCTACACTCAAATATCTAACTACTATGTAGAAAAAAAACACTCGAAATTTCATAAAGAAAACAAATATATAACAAAATTATATCGACATCGTAATAATAAACACTCAGTAGGAGCCTCTAATAAATCGAAATAAAATCAATCATAGGTATATATTTATTTGTTGTTTATGTATTGTTTACGCCATTTTTGTTGAAAATAATTTTGCCATAATTTTCACGATATATCGAAATTATAATATAAAACGTCATTTTTGCACATTGGACTGTATAAAATATGAGTTTCTGTGTTTTTTTTCATGATTTATGGTGATTATTTACACTTTATATTTCATTTTCAGTTAATTCTGACTACTTTATTTCATACGTGAACGACGGTATTTGAAATGCTAATTTTATAAATTGAATAAAAATTGTTAAAATACGAAATATAAGCAAAACTTTTTAAAAAACAGTGTAATTACTTACCCTTGGTAAAAATAAAACTGAACAAAGTTTTGTAAGCTATTAAACACTTTCAAATTTTAAAAATAATACAGTAGGGCAAGAGTCATGCACACGACATTGGGATAACTGTAGTAAATACGACGCATCATGGCGGAAACTCGTCATTTGAACTAAATACTCTTATTTTCTAGAAGCGTAATTTAGTAACGAGACTAGTTCTAATATTTTTTTTAGAAAATTAGATATATAGTTCTTATAAATAACATTTAAAAAACAATTGTTTTGAGAGATCTACAAAATGACATTTTGAGAATCCAAATGGATTCGCCGAGCTTTGAAAGGTTAAAAATGGGCCAAATCAAGAGAAATTTAACCGACGAGCGTGTATGCGTAGGTATATGGATGTGGAAGAAGCGAGAGAGGTGTGTCAGGATCGTGCCAAATGGAAGTCCATAATCTCTGCCTACCCCTCTGGGTGACAGGCGTGAGTGTTTATGTATGTATGTATATATCTATTGTGATATTTATGAGTATTGTAGTCTAAGAAATAAGAATTTTTATAACGCCTAATTTATTCAAAATATTGTTTTCATAATAATTATCTTATAAATCAGTTTTAATAGATTATTATTATGTGATAAGTGAACTGAGTAGTTATTTGTATATAAAACTGAAGTAGAAAATGAACTAACACTCCAACTAACTGGTCTAGACACCTGAAACCAATTTCGAATAAAGAAGGCTACGCGTTATTACCTTTGTGGACTAAGATGGAATACCTCACAGCCTGCACTTATACTGGCTCTTTACTCTTTAAACATATATCACTGAAAGCACTGCCATTTGGCGGCAGAAATAGATAAAAGTAAGTGGTGACAAGATTATCCAATACCCCATAATATCTTCCCGTGGCAGAGGGACCGCAGCAGGAAAAAGGCGGCAACGTCTTTCCGAAAACAACCGAAAATTATATAAAATTGCAGTTAGTAAACCGCCTCTGCCAAGCGTGGCAACTATGGCAAAATTATCTATGAGACTATACTATCTATATTATATATGAGACTAAAAAGATCTATGGGGAAGGCTTAGGTTCACCAGTGGACTTTTGATAGGTTGTAATGATGAATCAGCCTCAGTCAATTATAACAATTAATGAAATGTAATCTACGATTCTAATAATACAATATATAGTTAGTTCATTAATTATGTTGTCTCCGTAAAAAAATTACAATTTTTAATTTTGTGTTTTTTTTATTTTGCTTTTTGTATCATAAGTATAATAAACAATGATTAAAACAAAATATTGTAACAAAAAGACGAAATTTTAAAATCGCTTATCGGTCTTCCCTTAATCCGAGATATCCTTCGGGAAATTACAGTTTCAACAAGTTATAAGCGCCTAGAATAAATTTCGACAAAACAGTAGGAGATATTTTTTAATTACGTTCCCTAAGTCCATATAAACTTGTAATATATTCCTGTTCAATTCATTGTAAATCTACACGTTTTGTTTTCAATGATTTATAATTTGTTGTAATCATTCTTCAGGAAAATTTGCTTTAATCTAATTTGAAACTTTAGAACGAAAATAAAATTTGGTAAATTAACTGATGGTGAACTGTGTATTTCTACTGTATGGTGGCTGGGTATCTATCATCTATTATATGTGTATGCTGTGCCATCCCCTACATTTGTCCCGTGGGCGTTGTTAGAGGCGACAAAGGGAAACAAACCAGGAGATGTGCAGCAGAGGCCTCTTAATAACAATAAAAACACACATTGATTGTCCATATGTTAAATTCATAGTGTCTACGTAATTAAAAAAAACTAACCTGAATATGAATAAACAAAATCTCGTGAAATTTATTCTACAAAGTGAATGTTCGCTACGTAAAACTTAACGGCGGTTGGCTTTGTCAAGTTAAAGTGAATGTCAACCTGAACTCCAGCTAACAAAGCTTGTTTCGTGTCGCAAAATTTTATTTGTACGTAGCGTCCATATATTCATGTAAAATACAGGATTGCATTTTAGTGCTTTTCAAAAAATAGCTTTGATTTAATATTATGTCAGTTTTATATTAGTCTTGTCTGATTTTACATAAATAAAGATCGATAAATACGTAAAACTATATAGGATAAATATAAATATAAAAATATAATAAACATTATACCTTAATTATGATTATACATTCCAGACTAAATTTCAATCAAGGTGGCCAAACTCAACGAAGGCTAACCATCCTCACAGGTTGGGGTTATAGCACGAGTTTGTGCGCAAGCACAGATGCACTCTTTATTTATTCACTCTCATGGTTCAATGTCCGACACAAAACAGTATATAATCACTGTGTGCGTTTTATCCAACAATACCGGAGAGAGACCAGGCGGACCAACGACTTTATGCGCTTTCCGGAGCGGCTGGAGCCACACAGTTAGCGGTGATAAAACACCGCTAACTGTGTGGCTCCGGCCTGGCTCTGAGCATTTCTGACTAAAAAACCCACAAACTGATTTTTGGCCCGACTCGTTCCAAAGCCGGAACCAAGTGATTAGCAATTCCGATTATAACCACTAGACTAAAATGGTAGGTCGTGGATCTAGTGGTTGTGGATCATACACTACGTTACTTATAGTAATATAAGTACAGAAGTGAAACCTAACGAAGAGTTTCGAGGACCATTATTCTTAAATTATTATCAAAATATTTGATGGTTAATTACATATCAACCGAAAATGACATATAAATTACATATTTGTACGATTTACTTATGCAGACAAAATCTGGGTAACTCGTTATCTGCACAATTAACTTGTTTTTATTCAAAATTATACGACATAGTAACAACCAATCTAACTGATGCTTTCGTCATTTTGGGAGATTTTAATCTACCAAATATATCTTGGACTCTTGAAGATGATGGATACTCTCTTTGTCCAGAAAATATTGAGGGATCCGTTCAGTACGATTTTTTTGATACCTTAAGTACGTGTAATCTGCAGCAATAAAACTCTCATACCAATGTTAACAACAGAATCCTCGACTTAATCTTTTGTAATAATCACTTATCCGCAACAAAATGTACCGACCCTTTAGTGCCTGAAGACCCTCATCATGTGGCTCTCAATGTCTTAGCCGATTTTGTCGAGTACCACACTTTACCAGTCCAGCCAAGGACTAAGTTTATGTACCATTTAGCTGATTTCTCCTTTATATCACGAAAGCTTGATAATTTTACATGGTGGCACGATCTTTTTAAGGGCACAGTGGACGATGCATTGTCACTATTGTATACTCGATTAAACAACTTGTGCGGCACTTACACACCAACAAAAGTAGTAAAATCATCTTCTAAATATCCCCCCTGGTACAAAACCCCTCTTATAAAAATATTAAAGGAAAAGTTTAAATATCACACCAAATATAAAAAATATGGCAATTTGTCAGACTATGAGTCTTTCTTAATATTACGTAATCGCGCCAAACAGTTAGAATCCGAAATGTTCAACAATTATATAGAAAAGGTAGAACTCAGCATAAATAAATCGCCAAGGACCTTCTGGTCCTTCGTTAAATATAAAAAAGCGTCAAACGCTTGTCCATCTACAATGAAATATGGACACATATCATCAGACCAAGGGGATGTTATTTGTAATATGTTTAACGATTTTTTTAATGGTAATTTTCAACAAATTCGCAGTAACTATGACACCTGATACAAACCCGATAATTGGCGATCACAGACTGTGTCGGGTATAAACTCGATACAAGTTAGCGAAACTGAAGTCTTTAAGCTCTTAAATTCTATTGACCTGAATAAATCTGCAGGTCCAGATGGTATACCGCCTATTCTTATTAGTAAGTGTGCTAAAAGCTTGACTATACCGTTAACAATAATATACAGACGTTCGCTTAAGGAAGGAATAGTACCGCTTACTTGGAAATCTGCATTTATTACCCCCATCCATAAAAAAGGCCCAAATGACCGTGTAGAAAACTATAGGCCAATATCCAAGCTCTGTTTATTCACCAAAATCTTTGAGAAAATCGTATACTCGTCTGTATATCATGGCATCAAACAAACACTCAGTGATTATCAACACGGCTTTTTAATAATTTAAAATTAAAAATTTTGTACAGCCGACTTCAATATAAGTTATTTAAGAATAACTTAAAAACTATTGGTCTGACCTTGACCAAATTCATATGGGACCACGCGAGAAGTACCAGCTTTCAAATAAAAAAAGAATCATCGAAATCGGTTTACCCAGAAAAAAGTTCTGAGGTAACACACATAAAAAAAACATACAGTCGAATTGAGTACCGGCTCCTTTTTGGAAGTCGGCAGAAAAATAGATCCACTGTTTCGAACCTTATTGTCTGTTCTGACTATTTAACTACCATCATGTCTAAGCGCTTACAAGTGGACGTAGTCTACACT